GAGGGGAGAGGGCAGCTGGCTGAAGGAGCTTTAGCACACCGAGGAGTTACCCCTCCTGAAGATGAAGGCTACGGTGTGGGATCTGTCTCTGATATCAGCTGGTGGTCCTCACGATTTAGCTTTCCCTTCCTCCTTAAAACCACATGAATCTCAGTGTCCCAGCATGAATGCCACTGGTTATGTGACATCCCTTAACTTGTAGGCTTTCAGTGAGGATTGAAGTTTGCTCCTGGAAGAGTGAGCCTTAAGTGTTATCTGTAGGGGATAGCAATGGAGTTAAGATCACAAGGTAGAGCCAGGCCTGTGGAGCTCAGCTGTGAGTGGCCTCACATCAACCCATGTGCCAGGTACTCCCCAGAAAGCCTGATCCTCCCAGCTCAGCTACCTTCCTAGTTCTTGCAGATTTGAAGCAAGCGGTATGCAGAAATGTCTGGTTTTAGGGCTAAAATGCCTGGAAATTCTTATTGATTGTTGTATTGGAGAGAGTAAAGAACTGGGAATAGAGGCTGCTGAGGGAAGCTGGAAAGGTCTTTGGTATCGTCACTGATTATGCAAGAAAAATGTGAAGATTGTGAGAGGTGGGTGTGCTGTGCCTGTCGCTCTCATCCTGGTACCAGCAGCAGCAACCATGTAGGTGAAGCATTCCTTCCGTCAGTGGTGGGAACACTTGAGACTCACACAGCAGCTCCTGCATCTCCAGTGTACTGTGCACACAGTAATCACACTTACACGAGAACAGCTAACTCTACAGGCAGCATTTCAGGAATTCGTCTCCAAAAAAGGCAGAATGAAAGCTGTCCAGTGACACCTTGTGTCCTGCCAGATTCATAGCTCCAGCAAGGAAATTATTCTCCAATGCATAGGGAAGATGCAGATGCTGATGTTGCATTTTACAGGAACTTGTCCGAACCACTGCCATGTTACACTTCAGCTACCTGTAAGGATTAAAATCGCTTCCTAAGCCTTTTGCCCATTCCTATTTTACCCTTAAATAATAATAATATGCTGCCAAGTGTTACTTTTACGGGGGAATCGTTAAACCTCAAACTCATCCCCAGGTGAACACAGGTGCCTACGTGGTGAGGTGCTGGAATGAAACATGTAAAATTCTGCCTGTTACTGTTCTGGGGTGAAGAACTTATTTTTTTTTATTCCTTCAATAATTGGTGGTATAGTATGAAGAATGTTCTTGTCTGACTGTAATTAAAAATTTAGCTTTGTTAACAAAAAAAAAAAAAAAGGAAGATTATATATATCCCTGTCTTAAAAATCTTAACGCATTGAGAGTAAGTAGAATTTCATTAAATAATGGCAGTGCATAATGAGTATGATTTATGCAGGGTGTGCACATTAATTAGTTGCCATGCAGAGTGCTGCAATCACCCATTTGGTCACAGGTTAAGGTAATTAAATGCTGTTCTTGCTATTGGAGAGGTGCCAGACCTTGGTCTCCAAAGATGTAACACTGCATTCTCACTAACCTAACTGGTTTCATTCATTAAAAAAATGGAAGAATTAATCCATTGAAAATATATTGGAGAAATCACAATGTATCTCCCTTTTAAATCCATTTCAACATCTGGGAAAATCGAATATGCTGACGGAAAAGAATATTGTATGAGAATGAAGTTGCCTTTCTTCTATTTTGAAATATAACTAAAATAATCCAGTTGAAAAATCATACATTTAAGTAGCTCAGTGCTTGGATGCAGATTTTTAAATAAAAAAGGCCAACAGAAATGTTGTGAACCTGAGGGCAATAAATATCATTGAAGCTATTTTATCTAGTTTCTCTTTTCCTCTTGCAAGGGAAACCTGATATTCCCAGGGCCTAAACCTGTGAGCTGCTGTCTGCTTCTGATGTCCAGTAGTCTTTTATGGAACATATTTGGAGAAGCAACATAGTAAAGATCCAAATGCAACAGGTAGGAAAACATACAATTAACCTGCACAAACCAGTTTTGTTTTTTTTTTTTCTTTTTTTGACACTGTGAAGAATGACAAAGCCTTCTTTGTAGTCCAACAGAGACAGGTATGAGCAGGGACTGCAGATGCTCAACATCCTTCAGGTTCAATCTGTGACATTAGGACACAGCTGCAAAACCAAATGCTGTCTAATACTATTTTTCCTTGAGTGTTCTAAGACTGGACAGAAGAATAGTGACAGCACACATGACCAGCAAATGACCTCAGGAGAATGGAGACTTTAAGTGCTCATCAGCATTCTTCTGACTAGTATAAAACCCTCTCAGGAGGATGCCTGCACGCTCACCAGATAATCATGAAAACTCATTTCAATTAATAGTCACTGACGTAAACCATCTTTTCATTCCTGTATTCCAGGACTCAAATTAGTCAGAGCATTCACATTTCAACATTTAAAGTATCTAGCTTTACTTGCAGGAAGTATTTCTCAAGGAACAGAACACTAAATCCTACTGTTGCTGGACACTAGTATTTATTTTGACAGTGACGCGCAAAGTATTACCCAGAGAAATGCATTATTTCTGCACTTACAACCGTATTGTTCAAATTGTTTCTGATGCAACAGTTGCCAGAAGTGTGGGAGGCAGCTTAAAAAGTACAAGTCTCCTCATAGACCGTTCCCATCCTACCACAACATTCACAAAGCGTAAGTGCTAAACTGTTGTGGTATACTGCAATTTCAACCAGTGGATAAAAGCAAATGTTGCCTTTTATTTAGCATCAACAAAATTATGTTTTAAGATTCTTTTCAATTCTGCTTATTAGGTAGAACAAAAACTGGAATGTAATGGATAAAAGTCATAATTTCCTTAGTTCTTTCTTCTGGGAATCGAGTCCAAATAACAAGACATTGATCATCCTTTAGAGATTCGTATTATAACTGCAAAAGATGAAATCTTTTTTATGAAAGCAGGCATTTCAGAATTATTTAAAGATGACCTAAATCCTCAAATGCACAGAAATACCTGTGCATGCTCATCTCCAGCACCCTTGCTTTCCTTTTAGGAATAACAGTACACTGTAATATACTTGCCAAATTTATTTTTCAGTTGTATAACTGCATGTGCAAATACAAGTATCCCTTAAGGATTCACTTTTGTTTCTGAAGTTTGGTCTCTTTAATATCTTCATAATTATTCAAATTGTTTTCTGCTAAGACCCAAAAATTCCAAAGCATTTCCAGCCTTGAGTTTATCCTGTAAAAACAAAACACATATATATGCTTGTGTGTGTGTAACTCGTATTTTTCTCAAATGCTTTCCCTCATGCTTTAAAATGAACAGCTGCAAAGAGACTAAAGGGCCTCTTCCAGTCTTTGTAGAAATCAGTGCACTACACTGATTTTCCAGTGGTTTATCTCAGCTCTAAAACCAGAAGCTTAAAAAGGAGTGGGGAAAAAACAAAAATAATGTAAAGGTCATACCTTCAATTTATTGTCAAAATCTTCCATTGAGTCAATCAGTTTTCCAGGTTCCAGTTCCCCAAGTGGAAAAGGGTAATCTGTCCCCAGAATAACTTTGTCCTGGTAATAAAAACCCATGTTGTACATTTAGTAGTAACATTAAACAATATAGTTACATGTGCTCTGTGGGATTTATAACAAACCACAGGAAATTACATGTGTGCATTGGACTGATTAATCATGAAAGTGAATAGGAAGATCATCTTTGGGTTCCAACTTTCATTAGGAGAAAAACAAAGCTTGAAAACAATGACTCAAGAGTTTACTGGGTGAATTTAATTTTGAAAAAAGCACAGGTTGTGTGTTAATTATTTTTGTGGTGTCTAAGGAAATGTCTGTTAGGTGAATATGACACAAAGGGTCATTTCCTACTCAGACTGATTTTCTGTCCTGTGGTGCAGGTTTGAAATGTAACAGAAAAGGCACCTGCACTATTTGTACTGCTTCTGCAAGTAGGTTGCCTAAAATGCAGTTCATCTTAGTTAAGTATTCCTAGAATTAAATAGCCAATAAAGGATACACAGAATTCTTCCTTCTGTTTCTTGATAATTTTTGGTTCTTTTTCATGCTCATTGCATGCTCCACACTGGTGTGTGCAGCCCCAAATGAGTACGAGAGTTCTTGACACATTTCTTTAAGAATCTCTGGAAGTTCTCCACCAAATTCAGAAAAGATGCTTGGATTTGCATTCCTGAATTTGAAATTCTTGACTACATACACACACACACACAAACTTAAAATTATATATGTGAGAAGAACATGTAATTAAAAATACAATGCAATAAAAATTATCTTTAAAAAAATTAACTAGTATTCAGCTTCATATAACAGCCCCAAAATCTCATTTACAAAATTTAATCTATTTTTTGCAAGTCTATAATTTTTTAAAAAATGTCATTGTCTTCAACTGGGATTGGATATTAGTTGTGTATTTGAAACATGTACCTGAGAACATGAGTGACGTGATATTATTTGTTTCTAAAAGAAAATCAGTGAAAAGAAAATTCAATAAAACCCTGTATGCATCATTCCTGTTATCAGTAATGAAAAGAAATAGGCAGATCCTCAAGAGCTCCACATTGTTACAGATTTATTTTCTCACTGGAATGATATTTCCCCATTTTATGTGCCTTGGAGAGTGCATGCCGCCAACTCCTTGATTTTATCAAAAGTCTGTTTTCCTTTAAGCTTCATCTCCTGGAGACATGAATATTTGAAACCACAGTTTTCATTAAAAATATATGTTTTTAAATGTCTCATGAATTTGAAGTCAAGCTCATGAATTTGGGGCACTTGTAATAATATTTGAACTCAGTTACCAATGCTGAAATAGGGTGAAAACCCCACATTTTTGTTATTTTATGAAATAGTTCCTTTTTCCATTTGTCAAATGCTTTTAATTTTTTTTTAATTTCCAGTAGATGTCACCCAAGAGTCTCTAAAAGAACCTATACAAAACCTTATGCAAAATCCAAACAGAAGATACACATTGTTCCATGTTGTTGTGTTATAAATTATTACAGAAGTGTTACTATAGGATTAAAAGAGGATAATTTACACTCCTCTGTCTACTAAATCAATTTCTGAGTGTAGATGAAACCAAATATATTTGGATGTGTGCACATTTAAGCAGCTAAATGCATTCTTTTATTTATAATATTCAGTCTGATACCAAGATATTTTCTTCAGATACAAAACACAAATGTATGCCATATAAAGAAACAAAACCAAAACCAAATCCAAAACCAAAACAACCAATAAACATACTACCTTTATATGAGAAAATGGATTTCTAAGTAAAGGAGAAGGAACCCAGTATTTGCCTGGCTGTTCATTTGTCGAGGTTAAGTCAGGAAGGTTTGTGCATTCCTGTTTACATCTCCTATATACCAAAGCAGAAAGAGATCTCATACCCTCATTAGAATAATATATATATATAATTTCAATTAGATATTTCTTTAACTTAAAGTATTGCACAGCTAATCATGCTATCTATTAATCAGCAGTAAAATTGAGCTGTAAATTGTTAAGAAAAACTGAGAAGCAGCATTATTGTGCTGCTACTATTAATATTAAGCTATAAAATGGGGTTGCAGTACCTGCCTTTAGCAAACGGCCTCAGTCATGTGCAGTCTCTGCAGATAAATAATACTGCTAGCATAATAGATGCATTAATTACATTATTTCAAAGGTTATCTACAAGGTCTGTTTTCCCTAGAGAACATAGAGTTTGATGCCTTCATTACTGCATCTCTCCTTTTAGACAGGTATATATGGCTAAAGATTAACCTCAGTGGTCCCTTCTCAACAGAACTTGTTCCACAGTCATAGGGACGTGGATCTTAAAATTAATCTCAAAGAGCATCAAGCATGAGTTTGTCCTCTTATATTAGTAAAAATGGTATTTGCCTTGAATCTCACCTTCTTTCCTGTCAAGACATATGTCAAAAAAAGGTCAGATTGCTATAGCTAGCTCAGCTCCAGCTTCTGGCCAGAGAATGTTTTACCTTTGGGTAAAGGCTCTTGAGGAATTGCTATGGGGAAGTTTTTGCAGAAATACACTGAATCATTCAATACCCTGTCAACCCAGTTCTTCATGTTTTGTGGCCAGCATCATTAGGGATTTTGTGTTTATTTATATTCACTTCATGCTACCTCAACATGGGGGGAGTGAAGGACTGCAGCAATTTTGCAGTCTTGCAAAGTTCCTTCTTAGAGTTGTGTATTTCTGCTTCCTTTAACCTGTTAAACCAATAAGGGATGAAGTTAAGTGTCCGTGACTCATCATAGCTGTCACTAGGTTTGAATATTCATAAGCTTAAAGCCAACACATGACATTCTGGTCCCCAAGGACCTGAAGCCATGTCTAAGCACATCTCTACACACCTGGATGCTCTTCCTGCCTAGCTCTCAGCTATACTCTAGAGACCTGTCCTACTTCAGACCTTCGGCTCTTGAATTTACAGCATCATCCTCAAGACCCAAACAATCACATTGGTTTCAACCCAGCACTTATTCATCTCCTATGTGTTATTCTGCCAACATATGACTGCACTCAAAAAAACAAGATATTTGGTAGTTTTTTAAGCATTTGCTCCTGGAAATAGTATGATGGGAAAATATCAACATTCATTTATAAAAGAGAAAGAAGCTTTTTTTTTTTTTTTTTTTTTTTTTTTTTTAAGTTCTTCTGAGTGTTAAAAGCATTTAAGTTTTTGGGCTCTGACTCATGACTTTTCAGCACTGGGGTTCCACCTGATGTCACATTGGTTGAGCTCAAAATACTCGGAAGAGGATTAAAGAAGACAACCAACATCTCATGTAGTACACTGGTCTAATTTATTGCATTAAGAAACTTAATTTCAGAAGTCTGTTGACAAAGTAAACAAGACACCGGAGAGGCTACTGCTGAGGGACTTTTAGATTATTGAATTAGAATCCATAGCCTTTCTCTCCTCAGACAACTAAATTTCAGTTGCAAAGACTGATCATGATTAAGGACCAGACTCTATATGTCACTTCTTAGGAGAAAGGTAGAGAAGTTCCAGTTTTGGTGTGGTGCAAAGACAGCAGCTTTCCTACAACAGCCATAGCTTAGAGCAGCCTTGAGATGCAAAGCTCGTTTGTCACTCTAAAGCAGAACTGCTCTGAGACTTGCATTCTATACAAGCTAAAGCAGGGAAAAGGTTAAATTTGTCAGCAATGGGTTATGCCTCCTGTTGTACTTTCTCTCTTGTTTTCCTCTTGACATCTACAGTACCTTAACAGAATCAAACCAGAAGAACCTGTGGGTTTCAGTCACACTGAGTCACATGGCTTCTAATTTACCAAGGACTTCCTAACAATGCCAAACCACATCTCTCAACATTTTAAAGTGGAAAAAAGAAACACCTGAATTTGAAAATTAAGCCATTTGAAAACAAGGCTCCATATGAAGCAGTCTTTGCTTTCAGTCCCATCCTGAACAACCTTACACAAGGAACTAGCCTCACTGAACTAAGGTTCACTGTGCATGTTTTCCTGTATTAAAACCACCATTTCAATAACTCCACACAAGAAAAACATTCACATGGCAGAAGCCCATCAGTTTATAATAACTCAGGTTTTGACTTTACTGGCTGATTTTACTGTGTGAACCTGAGTTGGGGCAATCCTCAGTCTCAACACAGAATGGGGGATACTGGGATTGAGAGCAGCACTGTGGAGGACTTGGGGATGCTGGCAGATGAAAAGCTGGACATGACCCAGCAATTTGCACTTGTGACCCAGAAGCCAATTGCACCCTGGGCTGCATCACAAGAAGCATGGACAGCAGGTTGAGGGAGGTGACTGTGCTGCTCTAGTCCACTCTGGTGAGACCCCACCTGGATTACTGCCTACAGCTCTGGAGTCCTCAGCACAAGGACAAGAACTTCTTGGAGCAGAGGAGGTCACAAAAATGATCTGAGGGCTGACACTCCTCCCCCATGAAGACAGGCTGAAAGAGTTGGGTTTGTTCAGCCTGGAGAAGAGAAGGCTCCAGGGAAATCTTACTGCAGCCTTTCAGTACTTAAAAGGGGCCTACAAGAAAGATGGGGACAGTCTTTTTAGCAGGGCTTGTTGCAACAGGACAAGAGGTGATGGTTTTAAACTAAAAGAGAGAGATTTAGACTAGACATAAGGAAGAAGTGTTTTACTCTGAGGGTGGTGAAACACTATCATAGTTGTCCAGAAAGGTGGTGGAAGCCCCATCCCTGGAAAACTTCATGGTCAGTTTGGAGGAGGCTCTGAGCAACATTCTTTAGTTGCAGATGTCCCCGCTGATTGCAGGGGAGTTGGACTAGATGACCTTTAAAGGTGTCTTTCAACTGAAACTCTTCTATGATTCTCTGATCTGTATCCTTTGTGCTTTCTTCTTCTCTCCTTTTGCTATTTAGTAGAAAATGAAAAAAAGAATGACTTACCTGCTTCTGCAAGCATTGAAACTCACCTCTCCTACTACACTTGTTAGCAGCCTCAGTGCACCATGATCATGGACAAGAGAGTCGGTGTAAAATGAACCAAGGTATTTTCTGGGATCCACCTTATTATCCACTGCACACAAATCGGGGCGCATGTTGAATCCATGGGAGATTCGCCCCACTGTGTATGGAAAAGCTCCTCCTGCAAGAAGAAATTTTTAATAACAGAAGCTGAAAATATGCATGAGGAAAAACAGCCACATTATCAACAGAGATCTGGAATTTTTACTGTTAGCTATTTAGAAAATGCTCTGCACCATCAATTTTTCACTCCTTCCTGCTCATTAGCTTCTTTCTTTATTTTCTCCACTTCTTCACTACTGTGATACCCAAATTCCTCCTGCTGCTTCCTTGTCCTTTTCCTTAAACCATCTCCTGTCTCCCCTTTCTCCTCATTTCTCTTAAAGGCTATTGTAACAGTTCAAACACTGGCTGAAACAGGCTAAAGAGTGTCCATACAAGCAGCCTACATGCCAGATTATCTTCTTTGGGGTAACAGCTCTTTACTGAGGGAGGCTTAAAGTGGTAACCTGATTAGCTGACACACCAGAAAATAGAGCTGCTTGATGATCTTAAAGGTCCCTTCCAACCTAAAGGATTCTATGATTCTATGCTCAGCTAAAGAACAAGTGTTTCCCAGGGTATATTACTTACCTCCATGTGCAAAGCAAACTTTCAACTTAGGAAATTTTTCAAAAATTCCTCCCATAATCATGGAGCAAATGGCTATAGTTGTTTCTGCTGGCATGCCTAAGAACAAAAAGAGCTGTGTTGTATGAGATTTTTATTTCTTATTTTCCTGTTTGAGTTCTAAATGTTATCTTCATTTTCTTCAATTAGACTTGAGCCTACCAAAAAAATAATAGTTTCAGAGCAGCTGCCAAAGGTTACGTGTTATCTCTATTAGAAGGACACAGAGCTGAACATCAGTTAACTGAAATGAGGAAGCAGGCCTGGAAGCTAAGATCTTCTGATTTCTAAGCCCAGTTCTTAGCCTACATCACTGGGACAGCTGACAGGCAGGTTGGGTGTGTCCTGAATGCACAGTACAGGCTTGATTCCTCAGTTACCCTAGCTCAAAGACAGGTCTGGGATATGCCAGGTTCTCTCCTTACCCATGCTTCTAGGTTTATTCTGTGTGGAAAGAGGGGCAGAGTTGGGCAGTTGGTGAATATTCCAACAAAAAACTAAATTTGGGGTTTAGTTATGACATGGTGCCAGTTCCTACAGTTCAGACATAACCTATCCTCTCTCTGCCACTGGGTAACTTGGAAGCCCAATGTTAGGAACATAACAGCAAATTAGGTTCCCACATCAAGCCTCAGTTTCTGAGCACACCTGTCTATTTAGAATATCATACCATTTAAGTGCCTAACTTCAGACATCAAGCTTGAAATTAGGAACTGAGTTCCCCTCATCTGTGGGGGAAATAAAACCTATCCAGCTCAAAAGGCTGTCTTTCATTAATGTTTTACCATACACTCAGATGCAAAACCTTCCTAGGCTTAGCAGGAAAATCTTTTAATTATACTTTGTTAGTAAATGCAATCATTTTAGTCTCTTTTTAAATCTGTGTTGCTGAGCAAGCTCTGATCAAGATTAATTGATACTGTTTTAAGATACTGCACTGGTGATTGGGACACTAGGATTTTTCAGTGTATATTGCAGAACATATATTATATGTATATTATGTATGTTTTCCTGTTGCAGTGTGCCTCCTGGAGACAGAGGTTTCTATTACCTCTTTGTCCCCAAACATGGGCACACATCCAGAATGTTCCATCTTTCCCAGGTCATGGTTGGCTCAGCCACCACAAGACCAATCCCTTAACAGCCATTGGACCCCTGACCTGTAGGTATCCCATCTCTGTATCCTTACAGGACAATGCCTTTTGTAAAACCACCTACCAACCTGTTAAAAACCTCTGACCCCAAGGCCACATGCTCTTTTGCTTCTCCCCTGGGGTGGGTGCTGTTTTCAGTGCCTGCCTCAGGTGTTTTTGTTTGTTATTTTCATGTTATTAAAACCTTGTATTTTGGAAGCAAGCGATCGTTGCCCATCCCTCCTTTAGTTGTCACTGTCCTCCTGTTTGCTGAAGACCACCCCGGAGGTATTACTGGGGTCCTGCTGGGGGTCTTATCTTCCTGGGCAAAACCAGCGGCTATTTACCCGTGTTTTTTAAAAGTAATATTTTCCAGAACACCTCAATTGGAGGCAGTGCAAAACCATGCAAAACAAAACAGAGTAAGTGAGGCTGGAATCAGGTCTAAACATTTCTAGGTAGCAATAAAACCTAACTTCCCCTATTCAGTGCTGTTCTGATTTACCTAGCAGATGGGGAAAAAACAGAAACTAGATAATTCCTTACCTCTATGGTAAGGAAGGTATGGAGAGCTTTCAAAGTACATGTCGTTTCAGCTATAGTTGATGTGAGCTCTGATCAACCTTTTTCTAGGAAATAATCCAAGATATTCTAGGAAGTAATGTTTGTTTTTGCCTACTCCTTCATTTACTCACATTAATTTTGAAGAGGTCGTTCAGATATTATTCATTTTTCCCTAGTCATCTAGGGAAAATTTTTGTCATTTAGGACAAAAAACAATACTAGATTCTGTTGCTAGTCTGAATAATTTTAATTCTGGGTATGAAACGTTATACAATCTAAACAAGCTTAAAAACCAATGACTCCTGAATTTACACAATGGTGTTTTAATCATAGTACTTCTTTTTTTTTAAAAAAAAAGATTGACAGAAAAATCATGTACTAGTACCTTTGCAACCATCTTCTGGGCATAATCCCGTGGCAGTTCTTGAATGTACATTAAGCAAAATAAATATCCACTCACCTATTAGCCAGGGAAACCAATACTTTGACATCCTTCCATCTATTTGCATGTCCCAGGGATGCACAAAGAGACAGCAATTTAATTGTTCAGCAGCCTGAAGCAAAAAGAAAAAAAATCTAACTCTCAGCTAATTATACCAAAATGCATCTTAGTTCTTAGCCATGTTTTAAAGATTACCTGCAGAATTGTACTGAGCATTAGTACTAGTCATGTAAAGAGGACCAGAAGAAACAACTACAAGCAATGTTTGATTATATTTACTCCTCTGGGCCATGTCATGAAGTCTTCACTTTCACAGTTCTTTTTGAGGCTCCAGGATTGGCAACACTGATGATAACACCTTTTTAGTAAGCCAAGTGTTCCTCAGACTAATGTGGTACAAGAATGCTTTTTTAGCTGTGCTTGTCAGTCATCCTGCAGTATAAAACTTGGTTCAAACTAGCATTCTTTTGTTTTCATTACACATATGATCATGAATTCTCATAATGTTTTATAGAACCATTTTAGGCTAGTTTTGCAGAATTGCTCCAGTTGCATTCAGGAATTTTCATTGCTGTTGCACTACATTTGTCCCGTGTGGCCCTCTGCCTGAATTAAAACCAAGCTAAAACTATTCCTAATCCACCCTAAGACTTCAAAATCTACCTGTGTTTTGATGAATAACCCATCTCCACTCTAGTATATTAATTATTCCAGAACTACTGACATCTTTGGAAAGGAAAACAAGAACAATATAGGATGCTGATTCTGATTGAGTAATTTAACTACATGCTTAAATTTATAGTCATCAGAGTAATTCATATGCTTAACCAGGGCTTAACAGCTTCGTTTTGTTGGATGTATTTCTGGACCTCCTCTTGTTGCTAAGGAGATTATCACACATTTGAAAAATTTGGGTTTAATTACCCATACATGCATAAATAAAGCTGCAGCTTTTGGATTGTAGGGAATAATTCGCCATCTACATTTGTAATCTCAAAATAGTAATTCAGTAACTGGCTTGGTAGATTGATAAGGTTTGTTATAAAATATGGCTTAATTTCACAATCTTTATTATCCAGGCATGATTCTAAAAGTGGATAGAGGTTACTTGCTACATGTGTCAAACATAAGCTGCAGCATGGGCACTATAAGAGAGGGATCCCAGTACAAGAGAGGGATCTTAGTACAAGAGAGACGTGAGGCTCCTGAAGAGTCCAAAGATGATGAAGGGACTGGAGCATCTCTCCTAAAAGGAAACTCTGAGAGGACTAGTCTAGCACTGAGAAGAGAAGGTTCACTGGGGATCTCATCAATGTGGATAAATACCCAAAGGGAGGGTGCAAAGAGGATGGAGCCAGGCTCCTTACTGTGGTGTCCTGAGACAGGACCAGAGGCAATGGGCACAAACTGAAACACAGGAGGTTCCCTCTGAACACCAGGCAACTTTTTTACTGTGAAGGTGACTGGGCACTGGAACAGCCCAGGGAGGCTGTGGGGTTTCCATCCTTGGAGATACTCAAAAGCCATGTGGGCATGGCCTCTAGGTGGCCCTGCTTGAGCAGGAGGTTGGATCAGATGACCTGCAGAGTTCCCTTCCAGCCTCAGCCATGCTGTGATTCTGTGAACGCGTGCATCTCCAAGAGTGGAAGGGAGCTGATAGCTGACTGTATATGACTACAAAAACAAATAGTCCAGATGCTGCACTAACAGAATTCTTGAATAAATTGAGCATTTTGAAAACTAACCTCTATGGATCAATTTGAAGCTGACAGCTATAAGAACCTGAGAAACAGATAAAGAATGTATGTTGATTAAACCCCATAATTTAGACAAAAGACCATCCTCATTTGGACCTCAGGCTATTTAAGAAATGCAACCTATAAATGTATTTTATTACCAATACATTCAGTCTGGAAATTTTTGGTCTCATTTACATAATTCTGTATGGTACTTTGGTTTTATAGGTATCTCTGGAAAACTCAGGGATTTTTATCAATTATCTCAGTAGGATTAGATACAGTAACTTGTATCCAAAGGAAGCAGTGCAGAAATGCTTTATCTGATACTGCACTTATCCTCACAAACCCAGAAGGCAACTCTACAGTGAGAACTCGTATCATTAAAATATTTTATTCATTATTATAAAGTATGTTTCAGAATGTTTTACACTGTATTCTTGTCATTACATGTTATCATGAATTATCATATATAATTACAGCTAAATCTCTCTGATCACGAAGCAGATTAGAAGGCTCAATTGCTTTAATGCACCTATAAATTTATCTGATAACTGAATATGTCCCAAGATGTTTTTAGGCAGAATTCGATATCACAGAATTCCTCAAAATACAGAATGAAACATTTACTCACAGCATAAATATCGTACAGTTCTGGTGCATTCAGGTCCCATTCATTGACATGAGATCCGATTTGTACTCCAGGAAATCCAAGCTCACTCACACAGCGATGCATTTCCCTCACAGCCAGGGATGGAGCTTGCAGAGGTAACGTACCCAAGCCCACAAACCTCTTGGGGTACTTCCTTACTGTAGCAGCTAAGTCATTGTTTAGTATCTGGGCTAGATCTAAAGTATCCTGAGGTTTGGCCTGGGAAGATATTAAGCAGAATAGCACATAAAAATATAGTTCTCAAATGTTATCACCTCTGGAAGATACTGGGTAAATGTCACTGCAAACAATTCAGAGAGAGAGGATTTGAACCTTAAATTTACTTTACAGTTGCGAATAGTTGGAAACCAGTAGGGCTAAATTCTGCCTTGCTTTGCTCTGCATGCAGTTCTCCTTCTTGTCTTGAATATTTTATCAACTGCTGTTGCTTTTACTGCTCAGGATGAGTGTAATAAAGCCCATGCTGCTGATGCACTTAAGTGTCTAGCCTTTTGTGTAAACCTGTACTCAAGTTTTGTTCATTCCAATGCAAATACCTCAGAATATAATTTTTAAACATATCAATGAATATTTACTGTGCTACTATTGGAGTTGAAGGGAAAAATATAAGAAACGTGAGATGCTGGAGCATGAGAATTCTACAGAGAAAACCTGAGCAAGCCTCTCCAACATTTAGAAGGAGTTAACAGTCATAATTCTAATAAGGGAACTGCAATATCCATACAATCACTTTCTCATTTTCCCCCCAATACATATTTAATGGAAAGTATTCCCATAAATATCTGAATAAAATTTTAAAAGATATGTCATCCAACCGGATATTCTGAAGTTCAGTGGTACTAATATGTGGGCCTAACAGCATGATTTTTAACATAACATATCTGTTTACAGATAACAACTTGTACACATAGCCAAATAGTCAGACTGATAATGCATTTAGAACAGCATTTTGCTATGATTTATCTTCTCAGACTGTTTTTATTTCTTTGATGCATTCATGATCACCGTGCAGGGAAAGTGTTAATTTAAATTTGCTACAGAATGTTAAGATTCAAAGCATTCTAGGTCAACGAGTCACATGCTACATTTAAAAGTGGGACAAGACTACAAATAAACCTTTTACTTCTTTTTTTCATGAGAAGATACTGATTGAGGTCTAGGTTTCATGGAGTCTGTACATATATGTCTACCTGCTAACCTGCTAATTTGTGCTGTGTAAAGTATCTCTCCCCATTTCCAGCTAGCCCCATAAGGTCCCCAGAAGAAATTCTGTAGTTGTCTCATTCTTTCTTACTGAGTGTACTCTGGAGTGGATCTTTCCCAGGACACCCTGCAGCCTCTTCTGATACTTGGAATATTTTTTTGTCTATTGTTTTTCACAGCAGAACAATTCCCCATTTGCTTAGTGCTCTAGTGACTGCTTAAATCACCTAATTTATTGGAGGATACATTTATTTTTAAAAAACTTAGTAACATATGAATTACGAAATACGCTAGTAGGAACCTACCCAGTAGCTGAACATTACAGGGACTGTGGAAAGGACTTGCACTGTGACTCCTGAATAAGAAAAAGCAGTTATTAATGTTCCTTTTTTTGGGTAAAATGTTATAAATAAGAAAACATTTTATTTTGAAAGGCAGAAGATAAAAGCCTTAATGGTAACAAAGACTGATTTAACAGTGACATGGTTAGAACCCTTTTTTTCCCTCTAATTACGGATCATGGTAATAAATCTTGTAGTGTATCACTTTATGAGGATTGGAATATTTTTGCTAAGTAGAAAGAAAATAACACTTTTATACTAATACCGGATTATTAGTGAAACTAAGTATTTTGATTTTAGAAGTATTTGGTCTGCATGTGTACATTTAATTAAAATAGCAATTTAATGTTACTCTCACATGAATATGACATTAAACCAACAGAATACAGGATCTTAAGTTTACTCTGGGGTCATGTTTATCATATATATATCTTTATTAAATAAAAATGTAAACTAGCTCAAACAACATTTAACATTATGTTAAATATGGTTGTTACACAATGTTTTCCAAAGTGTTTCCCAAAGCTATATTGTGATAGATGTCATTCATCCTGTGTCTGGAGTACTGAGGTTCTAAGTATAATAAAATCTGTCTGTTCTCAGAAATAACTTTGATGCTAGCAATAAAGAGAATTAAGTCTAAGCTGTTTGGTTTCTGTTCAAACATAAATCTTTACGTGTGACAGGCTACAGTAATGAAGACAACAAACCTAGCAGAAGAAACAATAAAAAATAATTAGGATTTCACTAAATAGTTGCATTCAAAATTGTATTTAAAAAAAAAAAAGAAGTCTGTAATATTTTTGCACATATTTTGAAACACCTATAAAAATTTAACTTTGTTGTTAGTAATGAAACTATTAATGCAAAAGATGGCAGAAGAACCCCTAGGAGAACTTCTTCTAAGACAATGACCTTGCCAATGCACTTGAATGTTTAGAAAATGATTTATCCTCCTCATTATTTTAAGTAGGAAACAGGAGGTGAAGCTGACTCAGGCATCTCTCTTACAAGATCTGATTAATATTATGTACAGCAGCAATGGTTTAGGCTTAAGGATTAGGCCTAGAAAAATACATGTATACCAAAGTACAGCCTAAGTTGTATTTGCTAATGGACATGTACTTGCTTAGTGTATTCAGCATTTTCCCCATATTATTGTATCTAGTTCAAACCACTCTTACCCTGAAAAGCAAATTTAACACGAACCTTAAAGGTAGATTTCCAAGCTGAACATTCCTAGACATTAGCTTTAGGAAGAAGAAGAATCAGCACAGAAAAATCTCAACTTTATACCCTTTTTAGAGGGTTTTACTAAGGAGAAAATAACAAGAAAAGGCAGTTAGGAGTAACTAAAAGATTTTTTTCCAACAATATCATGCTGATCTGTGTCATAGAACTGTGATATTAATTACCTTGATAGCTTGTTTTATTGTGTGGATCAAGGCACAGGTTTGTATACCAAATAGACCTAGGACATATGATTATGAGAACTAATTTAGTCTCTTTGGTATACTGGTTTCTATTTACGGGCATGATTTCTTGGGCACAGCACAGACAAAGCCTTTTAGCAACCAAACTGTAAGCTGCCTGAGTTAATAATACCTACAGCGACCGATACTAATTTTGCCCAGCCAGGAGACTCCTCACATCTTTGTTCCAAAATTTTGCTTTGTTTGGAGGTTAAATTTTTGGGTATAATCTATCTTGGCCTGTGTTACAGAAAACAGTCTTTGAACTAAGTGTCTACAGCTTTGTAATCCAAAAAAGTAAATGTGGCCCATAGTCTTTATCATTAGGTGAGCAGTGAGAATGAAAAACACAAAGACCTTTCTTTTACATTTAATTGGCTGCTACCTGTATCTCTGGAGTGCTGTAATAAAGGGGGACATTTTTATGGCACAAGTCACCAGATGGTGCTGTAACACACAGTTTTAGCTTTTATTTTTTTTTAACCAAGCGAGCACTGTTTAGTTTGTAGAGAAATAGTGGTGTTGTCTTTACAATATATATTTTTTTTTTCTGAAGAGCTGGTGCAAAAATTTGAAAAAAAAATGCTCCTATGTTTTCCCTTTGTCTAGAACAAATAGATGGGGCAGAATTGTTTTATGGAAACTTGCCATTATTGTTGAGGGAAATATCTGAAAGGGAAAGATGCCCAAAGGCTATTTATGATTTACACTGTGGTTGAATGCTGTGGTAATCCCCAGAATCCCCAAACTAACCCAGAGAATGATTACAGTCTAGTCAAGGCAGCATATTTCAGAGAGGTTACAAAGACATTCTAGCACTCCCACTAAATGTCTAACGGCTGGAGTCTGAAATACTGCTTCTCCAGGGTGAAAATGAGGTAGTTGAAAATGATCTAAATTGTGTTTACATAAATTGCCCGCCAGCCCTTGAGCTCCCAGATTGGCCTGGGTTATGTGTTGCAGTAAACCTCCATAAGGAGGATGACCCAAACTACCTCCTAACATGCTATGCCGTGAGAGAAGGAAACAATAATCATAAAGATGCTACTTATAAGATATCTGCTCTTTGCAGTAGATCAGGTGTTTATGCCTTATGAACAGCTGGAGAAGATATTCATGTTGTGTCTGCTGAGAAACTGATGCTTGGAATTATTCCACCCTCTGTCTAAGAAAAAAAAAGTCTTTATTAACAAAGTAATTATCTCATAAATGCAATTTGGATTTACAGTGCTAATAAGAACTAACAAAAGTAACTGATCAGACTAAAAATTCCTTCTCTCAGACTAAAAATTACTTCTCTCATCCTCAGACTCCCAACTTACAAACCTTATTTGGTGGCATTTAAGTAACTTGACTGAAAATAAATTTACAAATTTGACATCTGGTGAAGTTTATTTCTAAAGCAGGAAAACTTTCTTTTCTGAGAAAAAGTTCTCTAGGCTCAGAGGCCTCTAGCAAAAATACAGTATGAAGTTGCAATATCTAAACAGAAAAAAGTACTAGAAAAGAGACAAAACATACAAAAAATCTATGAGTAAACAGATTCTTCTTAACAATTGGAATAAAAATGGAAAGGTTTCCTCTTCACATAGTTTGGGTCATCCTCCTTATGGAGGTTTTCTATACCTGGAATGTACGTATGTTGCTTTTTCAAGTCCAGAGTCAGTCACTCTCAATGTCAACTAGTTCCTTCCTGCCTTATAAATCCCACCAAAATTAATGAGCCAATGTGGGTAATAAATTGGTACTGAAAATGAGGAAGGTTATGGGAATATGCCCCTTTTGAGTCTGAGTATAAAGCGTATCCATTTTCACTGATTTTCAAGGTATTTAAATTAATGAATCAGTATGCTAAACCTTTTAATTGGGACATTGCCATTGAGCACTTTCAGATGCACTAACGGAGAAGCTGCTGTTACTCTAAATGAGATGCAATGATTTCAGTTCTTTTATGGAGGTACCTGATAGGTCCATCTCTTTAATCCGTACTTCTGGATCCCAGCAGTTCTCTTGAATAACTCTAAAAACCTTTCCATCCTTCATCATCTTTGCCTGTCCCTGTGAAATGATATTTTCATATATTATAAATGTGATAAAGCAGTACATGGTAATTTATAGTCCCTTGAGCATATTGTGCTCCCTCCAGAAATACAGTGACAGGATTTTGTTCTTTTATTTTTATTCAGTAGCTATCTTTAATCAAAGACTATTTTAAAGTAATCATTAATAAAACAGTCATTTATAGTCCAGATTTGATTCTTCACATTAAAAGTATCCCCTTTTGCAATGTATATCACTCTACATTTCTTTGGAAAAGATATCAAGTACCTTAATCCAAGCTTATCCTCAAACCAAATTTTGACCTCAAAACAATGCTCTAATTAAATCTGTGCTAAATTTTCCCTTTGGGTATGCGTGTGTTCTTCTAAAGCCAATAGCATCACGATGATCCCACTAACTACAGAAGTAATTGTGCAACTCTGTTAATTTCAGTCCAGTTGTTTCATATCACCAGTGATACTGAGACAAAAGGAGACCTATTATGTTATCTTCAAAGTACATTTTCTCCTTGAGAAAAAAAAAAAGAATTACTGAAGAATTTGTATTTGGGAAAAAAAATCCAAACAAAACCTAAACACAGTATAAAACTGAATTAGCATAATACCTTCCCCATATACCACCAATTCTCAGACTTACAAAGTTCAAAATATTATCAAAGTAATGAATTTTAATACTGCTTAACTATGAACATAAAAACTTTTTTTTTAAACTTAATTTTTGGCTGATTTGTCTATCGCCCAAAGAGGTTGAGTAGGCACAGTGTCATCACATTAAGCAAAGTTAATTGTTAATAATTATAGGCATCCATGTGCTTCTCTGGACTCGTGAAGACACACAAACCAGTCTTTCTGTTGGCTTACACTTGCACAAAGTGATGAGATACAACTCACCAGTACATGCAAGGCATGAGTATTATTCAGCTGCTCAAAGCTACTATAGGCATAAGTGGAAATGGATGGAAGTCAGATGATCACATGACCCTGTGTATTGGGGATGGGTAATTACAGTTATGCACCACATGTATTGGGCAGAGGACACACTCCTCTGCAGTTGAATATTGAAACCACATGAGAAAGCACAGCAATTATTCCTTCACTGCCACAGTAACAGAAGCTTAGCACAGGGCAGTCTTCTGACCCTTCTGGAAAGGGAATTCTCTGTCTCCAGAGTTCACTTTATTTCTCCTCACAAAACTGGTTTCTTTAGGATCCTGTCTATTTTCCTAATTAACCCCACTGTTAACTCAGTAGATTTGCTACTAGCGTGGTAAACCAGAAATAACTAATAAAATGTCACTCCTTCTTGCAGAGCTGTGTTTCTATCCCCTCCTTCTGAGAAGTCAGACATTTCTTAACCTTGAATTTGTTATTAACTTCATACATCATTCACAAGTATACTGCCCTAATGAATATTTCAAAGCTCTCTTCAACAAACTGTGATGCCTTGGCAAACTCTCAAGGTACTTGTCAGCTGTATCACAGAGTGTGAAAATTACTTGAAATACTACAGTCAGTAATAACAACTACATAGTCCTGGTCCTCTGGCAAAATACTTCAGGTTCCTGTGAAACTGATTGTCCAACCTGACAGAAGGTTTCCTCTAGCTGTACACTCCAAGACACTGAAAAAGATGAGCACATTGCTGCAGGCTGCCTAATAAACAGAAGAATATTTGGGTTGTGCGTAGAGAAAAAGTCAGAGTAGGACTGAGCACTGCATCACATATGAATAGATTGTGTGGACTTTACTGGATTACCACTGCGACACAATTTTGTCCTCAGACACAGCCAAGGCATAGCAGCCGACCAGCTCATGTATATATTTTTTCTTCTGCTAATACTGAAAACAATATTAGATAGATTATAATTTTACTAGCAACTTTGACAGTGCTCATACTTAGATGCTGAGATAAACCTGAAGCCGGGTTTGCAATATAGGAAAGGTTTCTAAAAAAGCATGTGCTGTTCTTTAGGAACACGCTCCAGGTCAAGGTGAGCTCACAGCATTGTATGTTGGCAACAACAAACCTGATTATGCAAGAAAGCAAAACATGATCATCTGAATAGATTCATGGTTGTGTATGTAAGGATAGAAAGATCTGGTACAGCCACATTGTGACTGGTAAGTGAGTCATATTGCTATAGTCTCTAGACACGGCCATTAATCTGCACCTGGCATTTTTAAGAGGAGAAATTACTCCAGTGCCTCAACTAGGAAACAATTCTCAGAGTTTTTTGCAGTAGTAAGAGTGAAAGAAACATGGATCAAGAAAAAACAATTTCAGGCTCCAAAGCAACGGATGTAGTGCTGAAAATATCATAAAAGACATAAGATGGTTATTTGCAGTTTTCTAAGAGCACAGATGAAGAATTCAATCATTCCATTCCATTCCATGCTAGTTCTGTTCTGTCCTATGCCATTATATTCCATTCTAAACATTATCTGATATTACAGCTTTAATTAGTTTATGTGGAAATTAAGAGAGAGATTTAAGAATTAAGTCTAGCAGGCTGATTTGGTTCAGC